CCTTCCCTTCCCTTCCCTTCCCTTCCCTTCCCTTCCCTTCCCTTCTCCTCCTCTTTGTTTCACTCCACTCCCTATAATAAATCAAAATATTAGAGGAGAAAAACAGCAAAGTAGCATCTAACCTCACGTTGTGTCTTTTTAAAACAGAGAGAGCACAAGCTTCCCAGGAGAGCATGCTGTTTCCCTGTGCTCTTCTCTCTGGTGTGTGAACTTTCACAAAGACACGACAGCATGGGCAGCATGCAGCCAATAAAACATGACAGATCAGGTATCTTTACACTATAGCAACAGTCTCCGAAGAAGCCCAAAAGTTATAGGCCATGAATCATCATGGTGTTTTAGTGCATAAAAACATGCACACCCTACAGATTTGCGTAATTTACAGAATTTTCTTACAATCTACAGTTTAAAAAAAAAAGGTAGAAAGCAATTGCATGTTTTTCTCTCTTAATTAGTGAAAGAAATATGGAGATAGAAAAAAATATACATTTTTCTTACCAATAACCAACAGACTCAGATCCTAAACAGCTGTAGGAAAAACATAGGAGGTCCGGGAAAGCAAACAGGATTACTTGGAGGGTTATAGTTTGTTGACAAGGTTCAGCCAGAACACAAAACACAGAAAAAAAGCATCTGGCCACATTCCCTTCATGCACTTTGCAGTCTGCAAATGAGGTCTAAACCAAAAACAATCAAATGAAACAACTTCCAGACAGAACGTTTTCTGTCAAAGCCTCCTGACTGCTCATCAGCAACACCCAATCTATGCTTCGATAAAAATTACCCGCAGCCTTTCCAAAGTCTTCCTGACACGACCTGCACTGCCCTGTCTCAGCCTCCAGGATCTCACGGTGGCCCTCCTGTGCCACGCCAGGTATGGGAGTTGGACACCTGGATGAGTTTCTCTTAGAAGTATCAAGCAAATGGTGCTTTCTGCATTTAAATACATCACGGGATGGTTTCTATGCCCTCCAGAAACCTTCCTGTCATTGGACTTCCTGTACTGTTAGTAAAAGATGCGTA